TATAGAGAAGTAAAAATCCCTGCACATCAGTAACGATAATTGGTGGAAGGCACCGGTCTGGAGGGTAATGAGCTCCATTTTTAAAGCACGAGGAAATTAGATTCTTATAAATGTCAAACGCAGTTATTGTCCTCCTTCCTTGAAACAGAGCTGAGCTGGCTGGAGCCCATTGTCTCTCAATCAGCTTTGCTATGGATTAGACACATCCCATCTCACACCAGGAATGTGCTTATTAGAAAAATATCACTGCACAAAGCATACAAGATTTAACACTCAACCCATGTACTAATGGATACATGTACAATAAAACCCAATACCATGTTACAAACCTGAAGCTAACCTGAGATAATAAGATACAGAAATCTGAAAGGATACAGATGATTGTTTTCCTTGTGTGTAATAATTCTGACTACCTAGGATTTTAGTTTTCAAATAAAGGAGATGAAGTGAGGGAAGGTGACTTTTCCTCTTGGCTGCTTATGAAAAAAGGAAGCAGTAAGTCTTCTTCATAGTGAATATGCTTGTAATCAGGTCATGTCCAAATATTTTGTGTATTTTACTGGTGTCTCCTGGGTAACTGAAGCTTCACAGAGGACTTTGATGATCCACCATTTTTCAGTTCTTTCCTGAGAAAAAACCAAGAGGTGGTTATTTGTTCATACATCAAAGCTAGCTCTGTGAATTAATCTTTCATTCATAATGAATGAAAATCTTGCCAGTATGTGTTAAGACACTACACTTCAGAAAAATGGCTATCGATTGTCTGGGGAGGGCAAAATGTGAGGAGGAGAGAGGTCTTTCTAAAATCAACCTCCTCTCCTGCATCCCTATTTTTAACATCTTACTTGAGGATAACAATCACTTGTCTGTCCTTAGCTAGAGATTGTATCTTATTTCCTCTCAGGGGTAGGAGCTCTGTTAGAAAGTAGCACAATCCGTCTTGATGTAGGAAGTCTTAAGAATGGAGCAAAGCTCTAGATTCCCTTTTGCAGTGATGAGATACAGACTCAAGCTACTTACCATCCATACTAACCCAAACTCTAAAGGCTGCACTATGCTGTTTCCAAGGTGGAAGTGTGTCAAACACATACCGTGGACATGCTGTGTTGGCGACCCTGCTCAGGACTGCTGCAGGGTGTCTTTAGAGATGATGTGGTGGGGGTAATGCGACTGTGCTGTATTCCATACAGGAAACTCAGCAAAAGCAGATGAGCTATTCAGTCCTAGATTTGTTTTTCTAGAGTTCTTTTTTTTAGAAATATGTGGGGGTTTTTTTCCAGTTGCCTTTTTAATAATGTTAAGTCTTCCTTCCTATCTTCTCCATATCAACTTGTTCTTTTTTCATTTCTGCTTCTATTGAATGAAGTTTCTGGTGTTGCCTATAGAAAACAAACAGTAACTTGAGTCTTCTGTTTTACTCAAGCAAGAGATATTGAAAGATATTCCTAGCATGTATCACCAGGCATGTGAACAGCACTTTCCCATTAGAACTCTAGGAATTTCTACTCTTTGCTTCAAGTCCCTGCAAAACAGTGGACCATAGGCTTGAATCCATCATGGAAAAATCATCCAGCTATTTATATGGCAGTCGTTTTATTTATTTAAATTTGGTTTCATAAGCTAAAATGAACCCAATTTTGGGGGGAAAACATCCTGAGGATCTTACAAATATCTTCAAAGCCTTGGACACCATGAAGCAAATTAAACTAGTTTTCTGTGATTGTGGACAACTTTTATTTCTGATAATTTTTCTTAATGTCTGTGCTACAGCTGTACCCTATGAATTAAATAAAGAAACAATTAAAGGCATCTCTCATGTAGCCTGGTGGTTAAATGGTAATCAGCAGCTGGTGATTAAAACATCCATATGACTCAAATCACAAATCCGAAGTCAGCTTTTACATTGCACTATCCTCATTAGCTAGGCACTTTACTTAATTGGTCCTCTAGTGCAAGTGTTATTAGGTGGCCATTCTGGGCCAGGGATGTGAAGTGCTGCTGCCTCCCTGCCTGCCTCTCCCTGGGGAGCTTTGCTTTGACTGACTGTGTTGGAGTCTCTTCGCAGGACTGTGCGTGGTTTGCAGTACTCAGGTAAAAACTAGGTTTCCACCTGCCAGGAGAAGCTCAAACCCATGTTGGTGACCGGTGTTTGTTTGCTCTCATCACAGCAATTGTTGCACGTCCCTGGTCCCAACTCTCATTAGAATTGCTGCGCCCTGGTCCCATTTGGTCTTCAGGCAGCCTTGCAACACATAAAGCACCTTCATGTCTTGTCTGCAGGCTGCCCAGGTTTTACATGTCCTTACTCTCTCAGATGTTGTTCTGTGTTCCAGAGAAGCTTTTGCTTTTGTCTCTCCCCACAGAAAGTGGATAGGGTGGTCCTCTGCCACAATAACATCCACAGCTCTGCTGATGCTTCATATTTGTTGAGACGTGGTGGGGGAGGAGGACGGGAGTGGCATGAGGAGCGAGTGCTCACCGGGGCAGCCACTGGCTTGATTTGCTCCGCAAGCCCAGGCAGCTTCTGCTGGGAATACCTGATCAGCAGCATATATCCTGAAAGGACTTTCTCTCCTTGGTGTTTTGGAAGCTGCTGGAGGTCGTAGATTAACTGGAGATAGGTGACCATGCAACAGGCTCAAACCTGTTTTTTCCTGCCATTAGACCTTCTCCCTTAAATAACCCCATCTAATGGATATATTTATTTATTCCAAATCCTGTGACTGGTGTCCCAATTGTGAGTTTGCTCATCTGCCTTATGTCAGCACGAAAGAGTGAGTCTGTGTGTTCTTAGAATAGAACCCTTCTTTTATTATGCTGCAACTCTATTACTTCATATTAAGCAATTGTTTTCTTTTTTGGGGTCTTATGACTCTTAAGCATGTAGCCACCTGCACAGTGAAACCCACTGGGCTTCACAGACAAAAGAAATCATTCTGCTATCAGCATATGGATGTTACAAAATGTTGCCATGTTTGTAGAAAGGCAATTTTCCAATATTAACTCAGCTGTTCCCCATTTATTTTTAAAATATCACGAGTCCAATCCTCATTATAGATCTAATTTTAAAGAACACTGGAGATAAAGCAACAAGACTAAGAATGATGAAGACTTTCTACTAAGCCTGGAGACTTTTGAGTGCCAGGTTTCTGTCTGAAGTCATTTTAGCATCGAGTGACAGAGAAGCAAAAAAAAGTGTTAATTGTAAAGGGCATGCTGCAGGCTCACTGCAGTCTGCATGCCAAAGCCTTAGATAGGATTTTGTGTGGGGAGGATGAGTCTCCTGTCTCAGCAAGCCCTCAGGTACAGTTCTGCTTTGCAGCATAGCCCATCAGAGTTCTCCAGGTGGCACAAAGATCTGCCTTTGTCCTGCACAGCTTTAAACTGAGGCACCTATTGTGACTGTGTGCTTGTTGTCCAGGGTTTTTTCTCTAAAGTGACTAGAGAATGAGAAGATGCTACAGAGAAAGAAGAACCTCCGGAGAGCAGATCAGTCTTGGATAAGATGCTGCCCTCAGTGTAGACCCACATCACCTGTCCTGACAGCCCATGGGGACCTGCTCTTGCCTTTTGGGCTTGGGCTTCAGCATTACTGGGATTGCTCACAAATGCCACATTGCTGAAATGTGAAAAATGAGTGGGAAAAGGTGGCGTGGGTGGATCACATCTGCCCCCTCCCTTATTCCCAAAATCCAGCACTGCTCTTAGAAAGGTATGACAAGCAAACTGTTTGCTGCTATTGCTCTGCGGCTGCTGCAGTGAGCGTGAAGGACTAGTCACCATCATGTGTCCTTTCTGCGCTGTGGCAGGTATAGTTTGGCAGAGCCCAAGGTAGGGCTGCTAGAGTTGCTTTTGTTGGTATATGGTGCTGGAAGACTAGTATGGTGTTACCTGCTTTAGTTTCCTTCATTTCTTCCAGGAATGCTTAATTTATCACATTAAGTAGATAAATGACCTGTGGGACATGAAAATCAGAGCTGTCTAATAGGTCTTCACTGTGTCTCCCATGTTTGTTAGCGCTTCCTGGGCACCTCTGGTTAACCATGGTGAGAAAGTTTCACTGCACATGAAGATGCTGCTGTGTGGGATCAAATTCAAAGGTTTCTTTGGATGAGCTCATGTTTTTATTGACATTCTGCAAGTTGTGAGCTTTTGGTGAGAGGGTGGCTGTGTGTAGATGCTTCTTTTGGCTTACAAGGCATCACGGTGATGTTGTTTGAACATAGCAAGTGTTAGCCCTTGTTCTGGATGGCTGATCACATGAGCCTCTATAGAAACAGATTTCTGCTCTAGGCATCCTCAGCAGCTCTCCCAGGGAAAGAAGAAACATACTGAAGCTGCATTCCCCACTCCTAATACAAGCTCCTTTCAGCAGGAAATGGGCTTGGACTTCCAGCCATGTGTGCAGTTTTCCAGCAGTCAGTCCCACAAGATAGGCATGAAACATCTTGTAATTATGAAGCAAGGTAGCTCAAAAATGCAAAGAGAACTAGTGTTTAGCAGAATTGCAAAGCTATAAAGAAGATGAATGTTTTATTGATTAGGGGATTATTTTTTTTTCTGCTGACTGAAGAGGGGTTTATGGTAGAGCTGCCACTTCTTGTGTCTGAGCAGTGTGGAAGGAGTAAACCTCACTCCTCTACTGGTGCTTTTTCTGGCTCAAATCCAAGGGACAGGATTTGCAAGAGGATATTACTGTGCAGACAGACTGGACTTAACGTGTTTTGGACCTCTCGTCTGTCTCCTCTGAATGCTGCATGGCTCCTGTGCAAAGGCAAGAGCCTGACCTCTGCCACTTGACACCCCATCCCCTGCAGACCACAAAGGCCTCTGGAGAGAGGTGGTAAACTGTGATGGGCAGGGACACAAAGGACTCTGCCATCCACCTTGCTAAAGGTTCATTAAAGGGCTTTAATTCTTATTAATTATATGTATTTCTGGCAGGTTTTTTTTAATTTTTCAATGGTACAATATGTTCTAAGTAACTTTCTTTTAAACAGGTTGAAGCCATGAAGAGAGTACTAGAAAGTCTCAACCTGAATATAGTCGAGATGGTGGATGAAAATGCAACCTTGGATGGTGGAGATGTCTTATTTACAGGTATAGTGAAAGTGAATTTGCTGTTTAATTCTGACTGCCTTAAAGACTGCCTGTTATCTGACATCAGCATAATAAAACATCATTCCTGTGGTTTGTTAAATCAGTTGTTTACTAAATGTCACAAAGGTGAGTTCTCAGTGCAACCCTCAATGTCCTGCCTAATGCCTGAATAAATGGAATAGCAGTGTACACAGTACAAAGAGCAGTGCTTGCATACAGATTTTATTTTAGCTTGTAAAGTGCCAGTAAGAAAAATGCTTTCAGTAGTCAACTGTCTGCAGTTGTTTCATATTTCTTACTACAAGCAGCTGCATTCACCAGACTCATTTTCAGGACCTGTAAAAGCTTGATGCAGACAATTGTCACAAGTTCAATGAATCAAATGCAAAAAAATGCATTTTTTGTTTATGGAGAAAGCGGTGGAGTTGTCTGTCAGATGTCATGTGCTAGACAACTTATATGCATGGTTGACTTCAAAGATGAAGATACTGACTGTGTTTTTTATGTCATTAAACCCATTAGACATTTTCTCACATCGGCTGCACACGGGGCTGCTCCCCGCCTGTGCTGAATGAGCCTGTTTGTTTTGATCAACATCACAGTAGATTGTCTGCTTGCCTTAGTTCACCAAGGGGAAAAAAGGCTCTCAAAAGAAGCAGATGAGGAAGGGAGGCCTTTCTAAGGCAGTGCAGATCCAGCACTGATTTTCTCTGGAGCTGGAGCTGAAGGATTATGGTGACTGCAGAGCTGCCTTCAGACCAGAGGAAATCTCAGAGGGAGAAGGAAATGGTCAATCAGTGCTGAACTAATCCAACCCAGCTGTTCTCTTTCCTGACCCAATGGCCATTGCAGAGCTTTAGAAGAGGAAGCTATTTATGCTTCTGGTGAAATGTGTCTTCTGCATAAAGATTAATTGCTTTAGATTATCAGCTCACAATTGCAGGTTGCATTTTTTTATGCTGAATTTTCAGTTTTACTACTCAGCTTGAGAAAAGAAATATAGAAAGTGAAAATCTGGTAAAGATTGCTTTAGAATGTCTCTAAAGCTGGTCTACTTTAAAAAATGTTTATGCTCTGATGAAGAAGCTAATGTGATTTTTTTTTTTCATGGCTTAAAAAAAAGAAAAGCTGTAATTGTTTTGCTCTTAATTTTTTCATTCAAGGCAGAGAATTTTTCGTGGGTCTTTCCAGGCGGACAAATCAACGTGGTGCAGAAATTCTGGCTGACACATTTAAGGTTCGTAGACTCATTTATGCCACAGGACATAAAAGCTGTCATTCACTGAACTAGTTTAAAAATTATACTGGCCAAGGTGTTTGTCATACTCATGTACTTTATGTGGGACTAAAAAGGTTTGAACATCCTGTGAAGTGATAAATGCTGAAGTTGGATCTGAGATGGGAGATTGCTGCATAAAAATAAATTGGATAGTGGGAGGCTGGTATTTTTTGAGAGCATATAAATGCTCACATTCTTCGTGTTCTCATGTATCATCAATGTGTTCTAATTGACAGTCCCTGGAGAGGTTTTATGTACATACTGTTTAATTAAGCATTTTAAGGTATTTCTTTATAGTCTCAACCATAGTAATATTTGAAACATGTTCTGGGTTTTACTCCAGTGCTCCAGACAACACAAGCTGGTCCAGAGGAGTGTGTCATACTTAAACAGTTGACACTGTGCCCTGGGATTGACAATTTGCAGACAGTAAAATTGATTATGGAATATCTCAATATAATTATGGAATTAGGACACTTTAAAAATATTTATAACAGCCATTCCTTGCTTCCATACAGGATTATGCTGTCTCCACGGTCCCTGTTCATGATTCTTTGCATCTGAAGGGCTTTTGCAGCATGGCTGGACCAAACTTGATTGCTATTGGATCAAGTGAAGCTGCACAGAAAGCCCTGAAGGTAAAGCACATAAGAAAATTTTCTAAACAGCAGATCTCCTTTTGTTTTGTTTTGTTTTAATATCTGTTTTAGAATACTGGAATTTTAAAATGGATATAGATCAATGAAAGAGGAAACCAGTACGTGAGGAAACTTGGCTTTTAAAATTGCCAGAGGGGAAGTAAAAGTTTAGTCATGAAGAAGGAGGGAGAGGGGTCTGATCCCTTTTGCAAAGATGACCTGTTTATGCAGCATAGACTTTCTGGATAAATCAGTAAGTAATTCCAGCTGCAGGGCCCAGATTCCAGGATTCCCTGTCCCTCCTTCCATCATCACCTGGGTGCAAAGTAAAGTCTCTTCCTGCTCACACTTTTTCCTCTCTGGTCCCATGAGGGTCTCATGACAGCACAGCTTCAACAGGAAGAAGGGAGAGAAGTCTCCCCCCAGCCTGTCCATAGTTTGTGTCTGAACATTTTCCTATAAAGTGGGAGGTGTGGGTTTGAACCCTCAGGCCAAGAGGCCTCATATATCTGAGTCTCTCTCTTTGCTGGCAGATTTGGAAACCAGTAGTCCATTGTGTAGCAGGTCGAGGCTGTGCTACTGCCACCATCCTCAATGGGACATGTTTATTGCTGCTGTAGTTTGCACTGGGCTCAGTGGCTTTCCTGCCTGCTGTGTGTGTTTAGAGCAAATCTAGCAAATTAAACTTCATCGGAAATGTGGGCACAGAGACACCTGAGATCATGAATCTCATTATGCTTGTAGGAAACAGCTCGTGGAGAGGTCAGCATCTCTGCTCCTGCAGGGTGCAACAGCTGCAGGCACTGACACTTTGCAGCAGAAACTTTGGCTGGGCCACCAAAACAGCAAAGGGCAAGTGAGACTTTTTTTATCAGGACTTGCTGGAAAGATTAAACCAGAATTTACTTTTCAGTAATGACAGCAAGTCCTAAATTTTCAGTTTTCGATTATACCGATTCTTTTGCCAATAAATAAGAGCCTAAGTGCAGGCTTTGCTCTTTGGTTTTGCAGAAGCCTCCTTGATGCAACATGATCACTAATGCATAGAGGAAGCCAGCTGTGTGTTCCTAATAAGAAATGAAGAGTGGTAGAGATAGCTCTGCTGTATTAGTGAGAAAGCTCTTTGAAATCTGCTCAGATTAAATGTAATTTATGCAACCCAACTTGTCTCTTGCCCTGGTTCTAAAGCATGAATTATTTTTAAGAACAGCATTGCTGTCAGTACCCAAGGCACTGCTCCAAATCTGTGCCAGGCAGAACATTTACAACAGAAATAGTGTGTAACTCCAAAATCAACATCCCTGGTCCCCAAAGAGCTTAGGAACCTACACTGCATGTCTTGTACACTTCCTTGTGTTTAGGAAGCCAGTGATATTTATTACTTTAAAACATCTTTAAATATTTGCAAGATGGAGGCCTGAGAGTTTTCTTGTCCTTACTGCCATGCTGAGATATTTCACTGGATGTTTGCTTTTCAGATCTTAAACGTTTTCCTCATGGGCATAATCCTAGGACTTTTCATTTCCCAGCAGCATCATTTTTACTATCAGAGCGCAGCAGAGATTTGCTGGGGCTTTTTTTCTCTTTTATCTTGTGATAAGATAAAATGAACATTCTCTGAGTGTCCCTTGCTGGACATGGGTTGAATTGTGGGGGCCAAGAAAGTCTAGTCTTTGCTGGCTTAGCCTTGCAGCCTGGCAGCAATTAAGGAGGTAGGATAGCAGCCTGGTTGCTATATCTGAGTTCAGGGGAGCTCCTAAACAAGAGGATGGTCCCTTGACTTCCCACATAGTTTGGAGTTGCTTTAGTTTGCTCATTCAGTTCCTTTGAACAAGCTGTCAAAGTTTCTCTCTTATTAGAAATCACTACAGGAAGCCCTGAGAGCATATTCCCAGCTTATCACCTACATCTCTTTCCCTGAGAAACTTATAACAAATGGTTTTGGTTATGGAGGTCTGATGTTCCTGCTGCTGTGAGATTGATTTAATCTGGGATGGAAAGTGCCCTGCATCTTTCCCTGTGAGATATACACTATCCCAAATGTTCAGGCTCAAACTCAAAATGCATTGTGAGCAGCAGCCTGATGAAGTTTGCATATATCCAGATAGCTCTACACTTGTACAGTGTGTTTATAAACACGAGTAAAATTCAAGTGCAATACTGGTTGCTCAGAGCTACAATTTGAACTTGAGCCAGGACTAATCTGAGAACTCATCAGTTTGATTAAAGCCCTTTGCACAGCTCAGCTAATCATGTTGCAGTGCCTCAATTTAGCTATTGTAACCAAAAATATTTTTTGGATAAGCTGATCAAATGTTGCTGGTAACTAACCATCAAGTAAATACCAGCATTAATCAAGGCACAGCAAAAAGCAGATATATTTTTAAAAGAAGACGGTAATTAACAAAATAATCTAGCAGTCTTTGATTGTTGGTGGATATCTTTTTAAAAATAACCACATCTGTTTTCAGTGTGGTTTTTTGCACTGGACATTTAGCAGTACATTGACACGTGTGAGGGTTATGTTTGCTCACACCCTGCCACCTGAAGTTGAAGACTCTGGCCTAGGGCAGCGGTTTTGTCCGATAGCATGTGCCCTTCTCATGCTCCTGGAGAGCTGACAGGTTACATCAGGCAAGCATGTTGCAGTCAGCAACTTATGAAGTTACCCTGAGTGTTTTTCAGTATGTTGGACCCAAGTCTACTCTAATCCTGAGGAATCTCTAGCTGTTCCTCCAGGAATCTAAATCTCTTCAGAGAAATTATTGGCAAACAAATGTGTAAATTGCCTGTCTTGGAAGTGATGGCATTTGCAATGCTGCTTATTACCAGCTTCCCTTAACATTTGAGTTCTTGCTTTTTGACAAAATATTTGTATTTGTTCACTTGCCTCCAAAGAAAAAAAAAAATTCAGTTGGCAATCAGCTTCTTGCAGTCTTGTGGAAACGCAACTGCAAGAGGATCTTTGAGGCGCTGACACTCAGAATTAAAAGGTGCTGGATTTTACCAGATTGACTCAGCTGTAGCAGTGCTGTCAGCTGTTCCTCTTGTTACCCAATGCAGTCTGTGTGGCAGCACAGTCCCCTGAGCTTCTGCCGAGTCTGTTGCCTGGCACAGCCCAGCATGCCACTCCTTTATTGTGATAGCTTGTTATTTTAAACCCCTCCTTCACGTTGCCATTTTTCATGTCTGGAAATGCAATCATACAAGCCAGATGATTAAGTTGTCTTTAACCACATCTCGTACTTGTTTTCACGTGTCTTGTTAGCCAACAGGTGAACTGCTATGTCAGGCTATGCTAACACTGTATATTTAAAATAGGATTTATCTTCCTGCTAACAATCTTGTTTAAAAGAGAAATTTTTCTCGATTGTTCTTACTAGTGCAACTTGTGTATCCTTACAATACATTAAAGACTGAAAAAGAAATTGCATCTGGTGCTCACATATGGCAGAGTGCAATTGATGTAGAGTTTAGTGCAGTGTATGTAATGTAAAGCACTGCAAATGAGCTAGGAAATGAGTGCACAGAGTTTAGGATTATAGACCACATGCTAGAAGTAGACAATAAATCAGAAGTGACATTTTAGCCATGAAATCCTCTTCAGTCTCTGGCAAATATAGAATGTTTATTTGAGCTATAGCTGAAAAGTGGCACTTGAGGAAACCGGGTGAAAAAAAAGAAAAAATAAGTGCAGAAAGTACTGGGGCCTGTAGTCACTATCACATCTGAAATTTTAACTTCCCTCTGCTGTTTTCAGCATGCATTTAATTCCTTCTTGTAGTTAAACCTGTTTATAATTCCGTACATGTAATTCCACAGTTGAACATTGACCATGGCTGTTGAGATGATAAAGCCTGGGATTACTTTTCTGTTCCCTCAGTGAGGCCAGGATTTCCTCCAAATATGTCACCTTTGGGCTCTGATCCTGCACTGTTGGAATTGCTGACCTTTGCTGTGAGCATGAATGAGGACAGATTTGGGCTGTGACAGTGCTGGTCCCGGTGTAGGGAGGTGGTGGGGCAGTGCTGCAGGTGAACACTCTGCACCACTTTTTCCACAACAAGGGGCACAGCCCTGGCATCTGGCTGGGACAGCAGAAGAGCCAGGACTGGCCCAGGACATAATCCAGTTCAGGTCCCAGCAGCAAAGGCAAAAGCTAGGCAAATGATGGGAACCATGACAGCATCTGTTGCACACTCCTTTCTGTATTCTCTTGCTCTATGCTAAATCCAGAAAAGCCACATTTCTGGCTGCTTGTATCGGTTGGTACAGAGCACAATTTCCTTCCACTTTGTAATGAGTGAAGACTTGGACAGCAGCAGGTGACTGGGGACACAGTCTTTGGTCAAACCATTCTCTGTCACCATTTGGTAGCAATCCCAAAGGATCCAAGGGTGTTATTTATTCCCAGCTTTGACAAACTCAACTATTCCCTAGCAAGCAGTATGGATTGTATTTGTAGCAAGTGCCTGCTAATGAAGTTCTTTTCTCACCCGTTGAGAAATGAGTTTGTCCTTTGGGTAGGCTCTGATGTTGCTCATTCTCCAAAGGATTAGCCCCAAGGTCTCTCCATGGGACTGGCAGAGAAAGCCTTGGTGTGAACCCACTGACCTGGAGTAATGCAGGGTGCCTGGTGATTATTGATGGATCTTGGAAGGGAGCAGAGGACCTGGAATGAAGATAGGAAACCCAGCATGGTGGCTAGGGATGAAGGCTGCAACATGGAGGGCACTCATCCCACCATATGGCCTCAGCTTAATCAGGCAGTCAGCTGTGTCTGGCATATTCCCTCTGAGATCTGGAATAATGGAGTGGCATGTGAAACATCTGGGATTTCAGGTGGTCATTTGAGAGGAATGGATGCTAATTACAGAGGCAGTGTGGCCGATGTGGCAGATGTCAGGACTGAGTGGCATTGCCAGGCAGAGTGCAAGGCAGAGCAGGTAATACAGCTGAACTTGTAACCCATCATGTACCCTCACAGACCTGTCCCAGCA